CCGTGGGCTAAGGTCTTTACACCGGGTCTTCCCGGAAAACTATTCCAATCGTATATAAAACTCAGAGAGGGGGCAAAAAACGTAGGAGGTACTCCCTTGCATCCGATCCGCCCTCCGGGACTCTACACCTCGAGCCGCAGAGGGGGTCAACATTCCTCGCTTGAACACGAACTCCAGGGACCCAAACAAGGAAAACGCAGATAGCGTCTGTCTCTTCGGTCTGGGGGGCAACTCGCCAAGGATCTAGCCAGCCCATCCGGGTAGACCGTCCCACAAAACGTCCTCGTGGAAAAAACGAGAAGGATCTCTTCGGATAGTTCTGGTATGCCCGAATGTCCTAAATTCATCCAAACCTGCTAGCCAGGCTGTATTATCGTCCAAATGAATGATGCCCCAGGTCCTTATCTTGCCAGGGAGAAACTTGAGCCTGCCTTACCAGGAATGGGCCCCGCGGTCCTGGAAGTTCCCTGAGGACCGCGTCTAACTCAAAGTAACTAATTGGTATACCTTCAAGTGTAGTCTCGTGCGGGCTCCAAAGGCTTCAGATCCCTTGATCCCAAGCACATCCAGTGGTCCGAATTGACTAAGATAGGGTCTCCTGCAATCCCCAGGTTCAGGGTTCTGTCTGTTATGCCATCCAAAGGTGGAGGCAACTGTGACATTCTGGGCCCAGGGTCCAATCCCTTATAACAGGTACGGGTTGGAGCTTTGGATATGTCTCCGTTACGTTTTTTTCATATGAAAACTGGGACCCGATATTCTTCCCTGCATGTCCCGTAGGACAACCCACTCGTGTGGGGGAGAACCATTGGCTTGTCAGTGCGGACTGAAAAGTAGAGTATAGGCACTGCAGTGGGCCATACTCCGGATCTCCTGTATACTAGACAGGCGTTGCCACCAGGAGAGCTGTAGCACCCCATCGGGGTCTAAGTCTGGATACGAGGCTACTTTGTTCGGGAACCCGGCTGGGTACACGACTACAAGTATCTTGCGGGCTTCTCAAGTCAGCGCTCTACGCTCCCAGCAACGCACAGATGGTGCTAGGTGCCTGGGCCGAGACCCTTTCCGAAGAAATAAGCAATTGGTTGAGGGTCGTACAAGGGTCCATTTAAGGTGACCCATGAGACGACCTCTTCTTCCACAGTCAATGGAGCCCCTGTAGTGGGCTTGTTCTCTGTCCCGCTGTGCCACTCATCATAGTCCACCCCCCATCGTCCTCTCCTTCCGAGAGGGACCGGCCCGCCCGCCATTCAGCTAGGGCGGCCGTGGTGGGGGTGGGTTCACGAGGACTACCACCCCTGCGCCACCTAGGCAATGTAGTCTGGCCGCCAAGGCCGATCATATTGGGGTTAGACGCTTCTCTGGAGTCTAATCTGTCCAGGTGCCTGGTTTAGGGCCTTCACCCCTCCAGTAGCACTTGTGCGCACTTGCCTGCTCTCCTCTAGGAGAGTCTGACTCATTCAAGTCATCTGACTTTATTAAAAAGGTGGTCACTGCCGTGTCCGAAGGACACCTCCTCCCTATAGGCAGTGCCGTCCAGCCCAATTACATCGGATTTAGACGCTTCTCCAGAGTCAGAGTCTATACAGAGCGTCTGGTTTAGGGCCTTCACCCTTCCAGTAGTGCTTATGCACACTTTCCTGCCCTACCCAGGGGGGTCTGACTCCTTCAAGTCTCCTGCCTTCTTTAGAAGGTGGTCGCTGCCATAGTAGGCATCGCCTGTGTGCATTCCCCCGAATGAAGGGTTGACCGTGGAGCGGTCCGAGGCAAGGTGACCTCTAGGGGTATAATGGACAAGTGTCACCAGCAGCAGCATCGGGGCAGCACCCCATCTAGTGACAGAGGCAAATTTGGCAGCGCATGCAATATCCAAGCATGAGTATATAGTCGCAAGGCTTGGCATGCAGATATTCTGGCACAGACAACGCAAGCCAGATCAATGGGGCACAGACAAAGCAGGCCAATCAATACGGCTCGGACAAAGCTGGCCAAATCCTGGGGCACAGACAAGTCAGGCCCTACGGGGGTGCAGAGGCGATAAACTGCCCTTCCATTCCTCTGATTAATTGTACAATTCACTCTTTGGAGAAGATGTACATAACACTTCTTCAGATTAGTGGCATATAACACTCTGCTGTATAACTGTAGTTAACACTCTGCTGTGTAACTGTAGTTAACACTTAACATTAGCCTCCCAAAACTTTCCGATAGAGAAGCATTGGATTGGATTTTGATGATCTCAGTCAAGGAAAGTGGAGGGAGCATTGGCAAAACCAGTGCTGGTAGACCTGCGTGGTTCTGGAATAAAGAGTTTTCTTTGGGTTTAAGGGGACAAGGTGGGGCATGGCAAGCTAAATAGTTTTCTATTTTTAATACTATAGGGTTAGGAACACATGTTTGTATTCCTGACCCTATAGTGTTTATTTAATTAGCAGGTAGTTTTCCAGTTGTGATGTAAAAAAGTTCTAGGAGACAGGAAGTATGTCTGTGACTGGCTCAGCGTTATTGGAGAAGGAGATTCAAACAAAACATGGAAAGCTATATATATGCTACCAAAGTACTATGACTGAGCTAAATAGTAACAAACATGAAGTATGTGTAAATACTTCTAAAGTCTATTAAAACAAAATTGTCCAACCTAAATAAAAATAATAGAGTGTTTGAATCAGCAAAAATAAAAATGTTGTTACTTATAAGTTTATACAAAACCCCTATAAATTGTATTAGTATGTTTAAAGCATCTCTAGATTATTTGAGATTACCTTGATCTCTGGTTTTCCTGCAACATGTCTCTATCTAATACTTCTCTTTAGTCATGAACTATCATCAAACACCTCTCTGCTTAGTCTATATCTATATAGAAAAAAACAACTCAATTCAAGAACATGGTTGCGCTAAACATACAGATACTTTTACAATGACCTCTAAAGATGGGCCATGGTTTCATTCACTTGGATTGGTGACCACATTACTTAGATGCATATTACTCCTGGTTACAAAACAAGAAACTACAATTGAGCATATGTGGGATGTTACATGTTACATATGCTGAAAAGAGACATGTGCCCATCAAGTTCAGCCTTCCTCATATTTGTTTTTTTGCTTTTGATCCAAAAGAAGTCAAAATCCACAGTTTGAAGCACTTCCAATTTTGCAACAAACTAGGAAAAACATTCCCTCTTGACCCCAGAATGGCACCCAGATTAATCCTTGGATCAAGAAGCTATTACCCTACATTGCAAGATTATATCCTTGAATATTCTGTTTTTGCAAGTATGCATCTAGTTGCTGTTTAAACATCTGTATGGACTCTGGTAAAACCACTTCTTCAAACAGATAATTCCATATCCTTATTGTTCTTATGGTAAAAAACCCTTTCCTTTGCCTTAGACTAAATCTTCTTTCTTCCAGTCTAAACCCATGACCTCGTGTCCTATGTATTGTCCTGTTTGTGAATAGATTTTCACACAATGGTTTGTACTGGCCACAAATATATTTGTTTAATGTTATCATATCCCCCTTGAGGTGATGTTTTTCTAAACTAAAGAGGTTTAAATTTGTTAACATTTCTTCATAGCTAAAATGTTCCATTCCTGTTTCATGCATGACAATACCTTACTGGCCTTAGCCACTGCTAATTGACATTGCACATTGTTGCATAGTTTGTTGTCTAAAACAATTCCCAAGTTCTTCTCGAGTGTGGTAATCTCTAATTTGCTTCCATTAAGGGTATAAGTTGCTTGTTCATTCTTGATGCAGAAGTGCATAACTTTGCATTTTTCTACATTAAATTTCATCTGCCATTTGAGTGCCCAGTCCCCCTGTCTATCTAAATCCCTCTGCAGCAAAGTAATATCTTGCTCACATTGTATTACTTTACAGAGTTCTGTGTCATCTGCAAACACTGAAACATGACTTTCAATGCTTTTTTCAAGATCAGTTATACACATGTGCTGGAACAACATCCATGGAGCCGTCACCTTGCAGGACTTAAAGCAGGCTTCCCCAAACTCTGTCCCTCCAGATGTTGCTGAACTACAACCCCCATGATTCTATGAATGAAATAGTTAGGCTGAGCAACATCTGGAGGGACAGAGTTTGGGGAAGCCTGACTTAAAGGATTGGCTGCTAATGTCTTGGCGCCAGATACCACAGGACTTGTTCAGAGGTTTTGTGGAGTTCATGCCTTGATATATATCTACACACCCAGAGGCGGCTCTAGACTTTATGAGACCTTAGACGAAACTCAAACATAATGCCCCACTAACACCCAAAGTGAAAAAATAATAGGATTGCATTTTGAGCGTGTAAGGAGCAGTCACTATATTGAAAGGCGGGCTTGCAGCGCTGGATACAGAGAGTTAGTATGACAGGATTAGGGTGGGTTATTGTTACAGGGTGAGTGTGGCAGAGTGTGACAGTAATACTGTGAGGAAGGGAGAGATTGTGTAAGAGGGAGAGGGTGAGGGTGATACTGTGAGTGAGGAATACTGTGACGGAGTGGGTAATACTGTGGGGGAGGGATACTTGGAGGGATGAGGTAATACTGTGGGGGTGGGATACTGGGAGGGAGTGGGGTAATACTGTGAGTGGTGAATACTGTGAGGGAGGGGTTAATACTGTGGGGGTAGGATACTGTGAGGGGGGAAGAATACTGTTAGAGAGGGGGTTAATACTGTGGGGCAGGATACTGAGAGGGAAGTGGGGGAATACTGGGAGGGACAGGGTACTGGGAAGAAGGGGGGGGGAATACTGTGAGGGAGGGGTTAATACTGCGGGGGTAGGATACTGTGAGGGGGTAGAACACTGTTAAGGAGGGGGGTAATACTGTGGGGCAGGATACTGAGAGGGAGGGGGGAATACTGTGAGGGACAGGGTACTGGAAGAACACTGGGGGGAATACTGTGAGGGACAGGATGAGGGGGAAGAACACTGTTAAGGATGGGGGTAATACTGTGGGGGAGATACTGAGAGGGAGGGGGTGATAGTGTGAAGGGGAATACTAGGAGGGAGGGAAATGATAGTGTGAAAGAGGGGGGATACTGGGAGGGAGGGAGGGAAATTGTGAGGGAGGGGAATACTGAGAGGGAAAGGGTATGTACGCCAGTGCCTTCATCCCTCCCAGTATCCCCCTTCTTCCACACTATCACCCCTCCCTCCCAACTGTACTGCTTTAGACAGAATAGTCCCTATTTTAGGGTCCTGACCCGCACCAGGAAACTGTCTTCTGATAGCACAAAGCTAAAGCTTTATTAGATGTGCTTGTGCTGTCCGTCAGTCACTAGAAATATGCAGAGAGTGCTTCTGTCATCCTGGCATGTTTGATGCCAAGAGGACATGCCCCTTTGGTGGGTGGATTCAACAATTTTATTGAAAGGTCTGGCCATTATGGTATTACCATTGACTCATATTACATTATTGACTATGTCCCTGGGAGGTCTTCACATAATTCTGAATATGTCCTGTGGTATTTGGCACCAAGAAATTAGCAGCAGATCCTTGAAGTCTTACAGGTTAGAATATGGGGCATCCATGGATCAGATATGTTTTTCCAGCATACAGCACAGATGCTCTATCAGATTGATAACTGGGGAATTTGGAGGCCAAGGCAACACCTTGAACTCTTTGTCATCTTCCTCAAACCATTCATGAACAATGTTTGCAGTGTGGCAGGGTGCATTATCCTACCAATAGGTTTACACTCCTAGCAGTCGAACTGGAACAGCATACAACAAGTCCCCCCAAGAACGAGACAAGGCTCTGTTTTGAGGGTCAAGCAGGAACAGACAGAGCTGTGAGTTTATTGTTCTTATATACACATTCTTACACATTAGTACCACCCACAGGGTTTTGGAAAACAACCAATAAACATGTACAATACACTCAGACACTCCCACACAAAATCCTCCCCTCTGCCTGTGATGCAATTACCTTACACAATGGGTAATCTAATTATCACAGGCAGAGAAATACAGTTCTTCCACATTATTCATAATTTTAAAAGTATGCATCACACTCACATAAACTTACATTTTCAGAATCAGCATACTCCAAATACAAACATACGTCAAGATCATACAAATTGGTCCAGTGGTTCAAAAGATAGACCAGTTCTACAGAGTCTATCTTGGAGATAATTGGGAAGTAATCCAATTCTCTCCAAGGACAGAGGCAAAGCTCCATTGAACACATGGCAGCAAAAGACAATGAAATACATAAAAATATATAACTGTGGAGCCATTGCATAAAACAGGTACATTCAACATATCCCCAGATAGCTCAGATCTGAGCGCACATTATTACTGAATGGCGCTCAGATAACACACATACAGTTCAATTGCCATGGAGCCAAAGTCTTTCCCATAGTCTTTCATTATACGAATGGGCTCCATGGCATAGCTATCTGGGGTATCACCGCTCAAACAGGGCAAGCACCGAATGACCCGGCTTTCGTGTCTTTGAAGGGGAAAATCAAGCGTTTCAACATGGGGCCATAGTCTAAAGGCAGCAGGCGGGCAACCAGGCTCCTCCAATGCACAGTGGCGAGATTGGTCTCGTCACAATTGTAATGATATAATCAATGTTATTCACTTCACCTGTCAGTGGTTTTAAGGTTGTGGCTGATCAGTGTATGTATATATTATTATTATTATTATTGCCATTTATATAGCGCCAACAGATTCCATAGCGCTTTACAATAATTTGAGAGGGGGGGATGTAACAATAAATAGGACTATTACAGGAAAACTTACAGGAACAATAGGTTGAAGAGGACCCTGCTCAAATGCGCTTACAGACTATAGGAGGTGGGGTATTAGAAACATTAGGACAGGAAATATCAAGTAGGAGTGAAGCAGAGATGGAGGAGAGAGCAAAGCACTGTCCCATAGGAGAGAGCAGGAGACAGGTATGTAAGGTAGAGATTACTCTGGGAGGCCATACGCTTTCCTGAAGAGATGGGTTTTAAGGCCCTTCTTAATGATTGAAGACTAGGGGAGAGTCTGATGGCAGTAGGCAAGCTATTCCATAGGAGAGGAGCCGCCCGCGAGAGGTCCTGCAAGCTCGAGTTGGCCGTACGGGTGCGAGCAGCGGTCAGGAGGTTGTCACGGGCAGAGCAGAGGGTACGAGGAGGAGCATATCTATGGATTAGTGAAGAGATATAAGAGGGGCTAGAATTGTTCAGTGCTTTAAATGTATGGGTTAGCACTTTGAATTGACTCTTATAGCATACAGGGAGCCAATGTAAGGACTGGCAGAGGGGTGAGGTGTGAGAGGACCGACTAGAGAGGAAAATCAGTCTAGTTGCAGCATTCATTACAGACTGTAGCGGGGCAATATGGCTTCTGGGGAGACCGGTCAGGAGAGGGTTACAGTAATCCATGCGGGAAATTACTAGAGCATGGACAAGCTCCTTGGTAGCATCTTGCGTACGAAAGGGGCGGATGCGGGCTATGTTTTTGAGTTGGAACCTACAGTACTTGGCAACAAACTGGATATGAGACTCAAAGGTGAGACCAGAGTCAAGTATGATGCCAAGAGAGCGTGCTTGCAGGGATGGACTTATGTGGATATCACTGACTTGAAGGGAGAGCGAGAGAGGAGGATCAGTATTAGGAGGAGGAAAAACAAGGAGTTCAGTTTTAGAGAGGTTACGTTTCAGAAAGCGTGAGGACATCCAGTCAGAGATGGAAGAAAGGCAAGCAGTGACACATTGCAGGATGGCAGGGGAGAGATCTGGGGAGGAGAGGTATATCTGAGTGTCATCAGCGTACAGGTGGTAGTGGAATCCAAAAGAGGCAATAAGTTTACCAAGAGAGGCAGTATAAAGAGAAAATAGAAGGGGACCAAGGACAGACCCTTGGGGAACTCCAACCGAGACAGGACGAGGGGAGGAGGTATCCTTGGGAAAGGAGACACTGAATGAGCATTGGGAGAGATAGGAGGAAAACCAAGAGAGGACAGAGTCACAGAGACCAAGCGATTGAAGAGTTTGAAGGAGGAGAGCATGATCAACGGTGTCAAAGGCAGCAGAGAGGTCAATGAGAATTAATATGGAGTAGTGACCTTTGGATTTAGCGGAGATTAGGTCATTAGTCACTTTTATAAGAGCAGTCTCAGTAGAGTGGAGAGGGCGGAAGCCAGACTGAAGAGGGTCAAGGAGAGAGTTGGAATTAAGGAAGCAGGTCTTCAGTGACAAGTCTTTCCAAAAGCTTTGATGAGAAAGGGAACAGGGATATGGGACGATAGTTAGAAGGGGAGGATGGGTCAAGAGATGTTTTTTTCAGGATAGGTATTACAGTGACATGTTTAAGGTCAGCAGGAACAGTGCCAGAAGAGAGAGAGCAGTTAATGATGTGTGTTAGGGTAGGCACAAGACAAGGGGAGAGAGATCTGATATGGTGAGATGGGACAGGATCGAGCGGGCAAGTGGTGGGGCGAGAGGAATGGAGAAGCACAGCCACCTCTTGTTCAGTAGCCGGGTAGAAAGTCTGGAGGGTAGGGAAAGCATGATTTACATGTGGTTGAGAACGAGAACGGCAAGGAGAGGAGAATTGTTTCCTTAGCTGTTCAATCTTGTCGGTAAAGTAGCATGCAAAGCTATCAGCTATAAGGTTAGTTTGGGGGGTGGCCACAGCAGGGCGGAGAAGGGAATTAAAGGTGTCAAAGAGACGTCTGGGATTGCGGGAGCATGAACTAATGAGAGAGGAAAAGTATGACTGTTTGGCGAGGGCGAGGGCTGCGCTGTATGAAAGCAACATGAATCTATAATGGAGAAAGTCTGCCTGGGTGCGGGACTTCCTCCAGGAGCGTTCAGCACAACGGGAGCAACTCTGTAGATAGCGTGTTGATTTATTATGCCAAGGTTGAGGTCGTGTCCTCCTCGAGGTGCATGTTTAAAGTGGGGCTGCAGCGTTCAAGGCAGATGTGAGGGTAGAGTTATATGTGAAGATGGCCAGTGAGGGACAGGAGAGGGAAGGGATGGATAGCAGTTGTGAATCAATGTCAGCTGTCAGCTGCTGGAGATCAATAGAGTTAAGGTCCCTTCTGAGCTGAGGGGGGTTAGGCTGAGATTGTTGGGTGAGGGGGTAATTGAGAGCAAACGATAAGAGGTGGTGATCAGAGAGAGGAAATGGAGTGTTGTGGATATTAGATACTGTTCATGAATAAGAGAAAATAAGGTCGAGGGTATTGCCAGCTACATGAGTGGGAGAATTAGCCCACTGCAAAAGTCCAAGGGAGGAAGTAATTTAAAGTAGTTTAGAGGCTGCTGGGGTTAAAGGTGGGTTAATGGGAATATTGAAGTCTCCAAGAATTAGGGATGGGATGTTGGAAGATAGGAAGCAGGGTAGCCAGGCAGCAAAGTGGTCAAGGAAGAGGAGAGGGGAACCAGGGGGACAATAGATTATGGCAATGTTAGCAGAGAAGGGTTTGAAAAGGCAAATTGAATGAATTTCAAATGATGGGAAAGAGAGGGAAGGGGGGGTGGACAGGGTTTTAAAGGAGCAGTGGGGTGAGAGAAGAAAACCTACTCCCACCTTTAATCTCTGCTTGTCTTGGATTGTGGGTAAAGTGAAGACCACCAAAGGACAGTGAGGCAGGTGTAGCAGTATCAGAGGGAGAGAGCCATGGTTCTGTTAGTGCAAGTAGGTTTAGGGAATGTGAGATAAATAGGTCATGGATGGAAGTAAATTTAAAGGTGCTGCACACAGAGCGTGCATTCCAGAGGGCAGCTTTAAATATTCATTTTATCCTCTTAACCTGAGAACTGTCCTGTGTTTTTTATTTGGACTCAATAAATATTCATTATTTTACTGTGCACCTGGTGTTATGTTGTATGTTACTTGTTTGCCAGGTTTGGAAGCGGGTTTCACCATTGCATGCACCATCGCCTGCATGTTGCTAGCATAATACATGGTGTAGCTTGATTAGTTTCAGGCCTTGTGATGGACTGCCTGGCACCCCGACCGGGTACCTCCATCAATCGCTGCTTCCTAGTACTTGCGAGCACCATAAGCACTGCACTGAAACACCACAGCCACCGTAAACCCCACAAACCACGGCAGTTTGGTTGGGGTCTCGCTGTCCTCCACCCGCCCTGGACCCAAGACAAAGATCCAGCTTCGTGTGGCTAGACCTCTCCTAGTCCAAAGAGCGAAGCAGGCTGCTCTTATAAGAGCAAGTGTTGTGACCCAAGGAAGTATAGTAATTATATCAATCCCCAGAGTGTGAATATAGTTCTCCAATCCCCAAAACACGAGCCTAGACTTCATGATGGGTAAAACGAATCTCGTTTAATGGTGGCCACAACTGGCATTTTATGACAGTTCCCATGCAAGGGGCACTCCCCCCTGGACCTAAGAGTAAACCACGGTAGAAATAAATACACAATCACATTGGCTCTCAGGTCCAGGACACTCCCATACAAAATTGGTCAATCACTCTATGCCTGGGAGATAATTGAGTCAAGCACTATACTAAACTCAATTATCTCCAAAAATAAAAAGCACACATTTTCCAAACACCCCAAAAGTACCTTAAAACACACAAAATCCCTACAAAAGTTACATCCCCCGATAGCGCCTATCTGGGTGAATAACATATCCAAAAATCACCCAAATCGGTAAAGGGGTTCAGGAATTTCATGGAAGTCATAGTTTTGGCTAACCGCACGCATGGTCCCATGCCCAAAACAATTCCATAGAATTGCGGCTAAGTGATGCTGGGGACTGACTGGGAACCGCAAAGTCTTCCTGCCAAAAACAGTTCTATAGAATCGCGGCTAAGTGCCGCTGGGGGACCGACCAGGAACCACAAAGTATTCATGCTGAAAATAGTTCCAAGGCATTCGCGGCTAAGTCCCCCTGAAGTCTTTTCACGGTTTTGGTCCATGTGAACATCCGCCAGTGAGCTAGCGTTTGGTTCTATGGAAAGTGCCGAACCAGGGGGAATAATATATGGGTCTTTACAGTCGCTGACCTGGCCCATAGTTTTATGGTAAGAGGGTCGCCAGCAGGCTCCTCAAAGAACACGTGACAAGGCTCAGTTGGTCACTGGCTCCCATATATCATAATGACAAGCACGGAAACAAACTCATTGTATGAAATCCTCTTTGCCCTTTATATCCCAAGATCCTTAAATAGCCTGTTTTTGCTTTGATAATATAAAATAAATTAAAAAACATGCAGCAATGCTTACATTAAGTCAAGGTGAGCTCATAATGTACATGTGCCTCATGATCAGGTATTCATAAATCCCATGAGGACCAGCTGTTCTCTGTAAGCTTTCTTCTTATCCTTTAGGAGGACAACATGTGCCACTGGGATTTATAAATTCCTGATAGGGAAACACATTTACCTTGTGCACTCACCTTGATTTAATGTAAGGATTGCTTTCCAGCCTTTATATAAAAAATAAGTATGTATTCTGTTACTCCATTAATGTATATATATCAACTATCTGGGATACCCTGGGGATAGACTTAAAGTCCTACCACATCAAGCCAACCATACCCAACTATATAAAATATACAAACCATGCTGTGGTTTGTAATTTTTTGGTTTTCACATTCACGTCAACATATAAAATAAAACTGTTGTCATCCAAATGTAATTATTATATTCGATAAACATTAACTCCATTCTGTATTAGTCACTTATTGATTAGTCTTACATTTCCACACAGACTTTTCCTGTTTATAATGAATTGAGGCAGGTGTAAGTTTTTTTGTCAGAAAGAAAGACGTTTTAATTTTTACTGCCTTGCCAGGAAACCAGGTGTTACATTGGAGAAGTTAAAATCTACGGCAGCAGCTAGTTATTAGTGGTTAAAGAAACATTATAGTGTTAGGAAATCAGGTCTCTCCCCTCCTGCAAAAAAATATATAAATGAAAAATGATTTACTTACCTTGTTTCAGCATAAAGGCTCCCACAGCAGTGCTTAATTATCCTTCCCTGGCAATGAAACAGAGGAGGCAGAGACTCTTCTGCAATGGTCCAATCAAATGCTCCTCATAGAGGACCATTGGGAACCAAGCGCACATGTGAGGCGAGTGCCGTGTGCACATTCAAACTTTCCCATAAGAAAGCATTGAATCATTGCTTTACTATGGGGCTTACATTTCACATGACCGCATTTTACTTTGACAGGTATTGACAGCCACCTGACATGCGCATAGTTGCCCCATTAGCTAGGCTCAGGGCCGCCATCAGGGCATGACAACCGTAACGGTTGTCATGGGCCCGGCGGTCCTGGGGGCCCGGACTGCTCAGGTCGTCCGGGCCCCACATTCAGTGGGTACATACCGGGTCGCAGGGGGCCCTGCGACCCGGTATGTACCCACAGGGCCAGCCTCTTCTCCTGGGGGGCCCAGCAGCCGGTCACCTCAGGGCCCCCCAGAGGCTGGCCCTGCTGACACAGTCCGGCGCGCGAGGGAGCACTCTCTGTGTGCTTCCTCTTCAGCTCCCTCGCGCACCGTACTGATGCCGGAGCCGGAAGATGACGTCATCTTCCGGCTCCGGCATCAGTACGCGGCGCGCGAGGGAGCTGAAGAGGAAGCACTCAGAAAGTGCTCCCTCGCGCGCCGGCCTGCCCGCCCGCCGCCAGTGTCAGGGGGGGTAGGAGGAATGAAATTCGAGGGAGGGGGGAATGTTAGGAATGAAATGGGGGGGGGAAGGAATGAAATGGGGGGGGAAGGAAGGAGAAGGAATGAAATGGGGGGGGAAATGAAATGGGAAGGAAATGAAATGGGAGGGGAGGAGAAGGAATGAAATGGAGGGGAAAATGAAATGGGAAGGAATGAAATGGGAGGAGAAGAAATGAAATGGGGGGGAAGGAATGGGAGGGGGGGAAGGAGAAGGAATGAATGGGGAAGGAATGGGAGGGGGAAGGAGAAGGAAATGGGGAAGGAATGAAATTTGAGGAGAGGGGGAGGAAGGAATGAAATGGGGGGGAAAGAAATGAAATTTGAGGGAGGGGGGGAGAGGAATGAAATTTGAGGGGGGAGAGGAAGGGAATTTGAGGGAGGGAGGGGGGAGAGGAAGGAAATTTGAGGCAGGGAGAGAGGAAGGAAATTTGAGGGACGGGGGGAGAGGAAGGAAATTTGAGAGACGGGGAGAGGAAGGAAATGAGAGGGAGGAGGAGAAGAAGGAAATTGGAGGGGGGAAGAAGGAAATTGGAGAGGGAGGGGGAGAAGAAGGAAATTGGAGGGAGAGGGGGGAGAAGGAAATTGACGGGGGGGGAGGGGGAGAGATTGACATCCATCACACACAATGCACCCCTTGCACACAGAAAAACACACAATGCATTACACACAGATACACGTACACAAGCAATGCATCCCTTACACACAGCAACACACAATGCACCCCTTACACACACTCAATGCATCCCTTACAGACGCACACACTGCATCCCATACATACACAAACTCATCTTGCAGCCCTTACACAGATTCACACAATGCATTCCTTACACACATCAGGACATCCCCCCCACACACACACACTCCACTCCCTGTGAACAAACTCATTGGTGGAACATGAAGGTGGACCCTAGGACCCAGACATTGAGCTGTGTAAAGGGCCCTCAAAGAAATGGAGCTGCTTCCCGTTCTCCCAGAACAGTGATTTTTGTGACCAGTTACAAACCGCCTCCAGAGAGCCTGTTGTACACCAGACCAGTGGAGCCAGACGGCAGCTAGAGCCCATCTTCATCATCCTCATCTGGTTGTAAGTAGGCAATCTAGTATATTATTCGTGGCACTAATCTCTAATTTACCTCACATTAAAGGGACAGTATAGTCCCCAGAACCACTGCAGCTTAATATAGTGGTTCTGGTGTCTAGCCTGTCCCTGCAGGCCTTTTAATGTAAACACGGCGGCACTGCAGCACTGCTGTTAGTTAACATGGCAGATCACATGGGTGGGGCATTGTGATGTCACATGGGGGGGCGGCAAACTTTACTTTTGCCTAGGGCGGCAAAAATCCTTGCACCGGCCCTGTAGACACTGCATCCCTGTGGGCGGATTCGGGGGGGGGGCAGCACTTTGGGCGGACTCGGGTGCAGGCACCGGGGGGCCCAGACCTTGAGCTGTGTCAGGGGCCCCAACATTTCTGATGGCAGCCCTGGCTAGGCTGCCACACCTGCTCAAAACCCACTTGAATGACCTTGCCCTGCACTCCAATTATCCAGAAAATCCCAAAGACTTTCTAAAAGATCCCCAGAATGAGGAGCAGAAAATTACTCACCAACAGAAGCCCCAGGAGGTAACACTCGCGAGGCTGCATCCGCTCCTCGCTGTCCAAGACCCAGGAGTCCGCTCCAGTATTCTGGGACCAGTGTACTGGACCTGTTCCCAGTCCATGAGAGAATGCTGCAATAACCTGGAAGGAGAGGAGAGACTTGGTAGGCCAACATTTCCCTGACCTGCCTGTTGTCTGCACGTGAACCCTGACTACAAGCACCCATGCCATATCTACTGTCCTAATCCTTACAGCCATTGCGCCCACGGTCCTGACGTCCGTCATCCTGGCCCCTACGGCCGTCATAATTTGCAAGCGCTCTTGCGACCCTCCTGTCAGGGGAGCTCCTGCTACCTGAACTGCTACCTGCCCCCTATCCCCGCGAACATAATTTGTCCCTATCCCCGCGAACTTAATTTGCCAGCCCCTAGCCGCTCCCCCGAGGACCTCCTATCGTCACTGCGCAGGCTGCCTGCTGATCGCCGGCGAAAATGCCGGCTCCTCCTAGCCCTTCTCCTCGCAGGCCTGCCAGCCTCCCTAATGGACACGACACTAGGGGATCTGGCGTCGTGTTCCTGGGTGCGGCGCAGTTCTCCCACCCTTACACCAGCCACCCTAATGAGCTCCCCAGTGTTTCCACCGCCAGGGGGCCCACTGCTGCTGTCCCTGACCTTCCTGTCCAACCGAGCAGGGTGCATTTGCTGCTTTAGGAACCATTGCCACTGCTTCCCATGCTAACCCGTAAAATCAGCATGTTGCTCCTGCACCTGTTGCCCTGCACCCAACCCCCCATCAGCAGAGGCAGTGGCGTACATACCAGGGTTGCAGGGGTCGCGGCTGCGACCGGCCGCCCCTGCGACCCGGTATGTACCCTCAGGGCCCCCCCCCCCCAGGCTGGCCCTGCTGTCACCAGGCGGACTGTCTGGGTGGCCGGCGCGCGATGGAGCACTTTCCCCTGTGTGCTTCCTCTTCCGCTCCCTCGCGCACCGCACTGATGACGTAATCTTCCGGCTCTGGCATCCCTACGCGACGTGCGAGGGAGCGGAAGAGGAAGCACTCAGGGGAAAGTGCTCCCTTGCGCGCCGGCCACCCAGACAGCCAGCCCGCCCGCCTAGGAGCCCCAGGAGCCCAGCAGCACCACTGGACCCAAGGGAATCCCCCCAGCACTCCAAAAGGTAAGGAGGCTGGGGGGATTCCATTTTTAAAAAAAACATGTGTTAGTGTGTGTTAGTGTGTGTGTGTTAGTGTGTGTGTGTGTGTTTTAGTGTTAGTGTGTGTGTGTTTTAGTGTTAGTGTGTGTTAGTGTGTGTGTGTGTGTTAGTGTGAGTGTTTTAGTGTTAGTGTGTGTGTGTGTGTGTTAGTGTGTGTTAGTGTGTGTTAGTGTGTGTGTTAGTGTGTGTATGTGAGTGTGTGTTAGTGTGTGTGTGTGTTAGAGTGTGTGTGTTAGTGTGTGTGTGTGTGTTAGTGTGTGTGTTAGAGTGTGTGTTAGTGTGAGTGTTAGTGTGTCTGTTATTGGGTGTGTCTGTTACTGAGTGTGTCTGATGTCTGTTAGTGAGTGTGTGTTTGTCAGTGAAAGTGTATGTTTTGTAAGTGAGTGTGTATGTATGTCTGTCGCTGAGTGTGCCTCTGTCAGTAAATGTGTGTGTCTGTTAGCTAGTGTGTATGCGTCTGTTCGTGAGAGTGTGTGTCTTCAGCATTTACCTTTCTCCAGCGCCGGACTTCCTTGGCGCTGGGGATCCCTCCGCCTCTCAGCTCCGAATGCACATGCGCGGCAAGAGGCGCGCGCATTTAAACCGCCCATAGTAAAGCATTACTCAATGCTTTCCCATGGATGTTCAGTGTCTTCTCTTTGTGATTTTCACAGTGAGAATCTCGGAATCTCCTCTAGCGGCTGTCAATGAGACAGCCACCAGAGGCTGGATTAACCCTCAGTGAAACATAGCCGTTTCTCTGAAACAACTATGTTTTCAGCTGCAGGGTTAAAACTAGAGGGTAGGAACAAGAAAGATAGGGGGATGGGTCTGCGCCGATGTGTACACTGAGTGTTGAGTCCAATAGAATATATATTTTCGTGTCCAAAGTTCTACTTTTGGTGGTGTTCAGAAGGTATCGGTGTCGTGGAGAGAGGTCCAAATATGTAAAAATAGAAGAGATCTTACTTACAATTTACAGAGCTTAATCCAGCTCTGGTGTGGATAGCTTGCAGCGGTATTATCCCCGCTTACAGGATATTCGGCAGGTGTCATCTTCTTTGTAGTAACGGGTGGCCGGAGTTGGGAAAGATAAAATGAAGACAGTAATGGTGCAGTATATTCTACACTAATAAAAAATATATAAAATATGATAGATACACTCACATTCGGTAGAGCTTAGGCTAGCTCTAGTTGGTTAGGCGTACAGCGGTATCATCCCCGCTTATGGGATATATGAGGAGTGATTTTGACCGGAATATCAGGAGCTCGAAGAGAAGGTAAAACAGCAATAGTGCTCTCAATAAAATCTTAATTGATAAAATAAAATAATAAAATATACTCACAATGTATAGGGCTGACTGCTCTATGTAACATAGAGGATCCCCCATGCTGGGATGTCCTAACCCACTGGGGGCAGACTCAGCGGGTGCTGTGTTGCTTCCCTCCGCTGAAATTCCGGGCCTGGCAGCGCTCCTCTGACCCCTGAAGCTCGCCCTGGGTGATGCATCCCCAGTTCTTCCATCCACCGGGAGGCATGGCATGGATATTGCAGAAGTCCCACTGTCCACCATACGGCACGGGGCCACTCCAGACCTGGCGGCAGCCGTGCCAGACCCGGGAGCACTTTGCTGCTGTGCGGCCACGCTAGTCTGCCTCCCCTGAGCTCCGGAACCAGACATAACTCCCTCGGCCGCCTCCACCCCCGCCAAAGACCCAGCCTACGGGCTTCTCCTTCTTCTGCTCCAGGGAATGGAACTGAGACTCAAACACAGGGGCGGTCTAGCCCACCTCGTGGGTCGGCGCTTCGTCACAGCTCCAAGGCATACAGGACATCCCTCTCTCACGAACTGCTGTCCTGACCCTCTTCATCAAAGACTCCATACTGGGATCCATCTGGAAAAGAAAAGACAACAAACAAACTTGCTGCATACAACAAGTAAGTCATGATTAGTTAAAATTGCCCCTACACTAAAATATGCTTTATTATCATTCCCATAGGCCCCGTGTGACGAGACCAGTCTCGCCACTGTGCATTGGAGGAGTCTGGTTGCCTGCCTGCTGCCTT